AAAAGCCCAGCCCCCAAAGAGACTTTTCTAAGGATCTCTCAAAAGCAATCCCCAGACCTTCTTCCCTCCCGCCAAGCCGGGGGGGGGGGGGGGGGGGGAGAGGAGGGGGTACATGCCCTGGTGGTATGGCGGTCGACCAGTTGTCTTTCGTGTGTTGTAATCATGACAATGGGGAGGAGGGCGGGGTTTTAGGAGGGAAGGGTAGGGGAAGGGAGGGAGAGTCGGTACTCTAGCTACCTGGCCATTTACACCATAGGATTCCTATGCTAACCTTGAGGTGCAGCAGGACTAACAAGATGGCTCACTTGTCCTTCACCTAGAGAACCTGGCCCACCCTTTTATACATAATTCCACCAAAGGTTAAGGGCCCTGTAAGCTGGGTGCTGGTGGCTCACGCCTGTAATCCTAACTACTCAGGAAGCTGAGATCTGAGGATCAAGGTTCGAAGCTGGAGCAGAAAAGCCCCCATGGGACTTATCTCTAACCACTTAAAGACTAGAAGTAGTTCTGTGGCTCAAAGTGATAGAGTGCTAGTCTTCAACAAAGAAACTCAGGGACAGCACCCAGGCCCTGAGTTCAAGCCCTATGACCAACCCCTCTCCTCCAAAAGAAAAAAAACCACAGAGGATCCTGGAGCAAGCTGGACCTGATGCCAGCAAGTATTTCTACTATAAAGCCTGAGTCACTGAGTTTAATGCCTCTTCTCTCCAGCCTCAAGGTCTGGTGAAAAGTGATGACACAGCCCTGCACCTAGGATTACACTGGGGGCTGGTGATTCAGGGGCCTCTGCCCACCTCCTCTGCCACACCACTGTCACCACACACACCCCAGGCTCCCATATCAAGAGACCCAAATAGACAGTGCTCATTGCTTGAGATCAGTGTGTTTATGTGTGTGTGGGGGGTACCTGTTACCCCCAAAAGGCTCGGCACTGTGAGATTACTCCAGCTATGGATCTCCACACCTCCCACACCTGTAGCTTCTCCAAGTAGAGCAGGGCCTCTGCCCATCTGTGAGGCCAGTGCAGACAAGGCCCTGGTCCACTAGCCAGGCAGCTCTGAGTCCTCTCAGCCTCATGTGCCTTTGCCCCTTGCAGGAGGACTTGGAGCAACCTACCCCGCCACAGGAGGACCAGGCAGCCAAAGAAGAAGAGGTGGCTGAGGAGGTAAGGAGCTGGGCATCCCCAGGGCTCACCAGGAGGCTCCTGGATGGGGATCTTGTGTCCCTCTCAGAGCCCTGGAGCTGGTTAGGAGAGCCTCAGAGGGACTTAGCAGTAGAGCCAGCCCTGGGCCTGAGGATGAGATCTTCCAGGGCAGCCACTGAGGGTTGAGGGCCTGGAGGGGGCTGTGAGGGTCATTCTTTCTTCCAGGTTAAGAGTGGAGGCGACTAGAAGGCTGCCAGCCGGCTGTGGAGATACCCCCCCAGACACACCCCTCTGCCTTAGAGCCCACCCCCACACAGCATACGTGCCCAGTGTGGAATGCCCAGCAGGCTGCCCATGCTCCTGCGCTGTCCCTGAGCCTCCACCTCCTGCGGGCCCCACCCGCTCCTGTCCTTCTGACCCCGTAAGACCAGATGCTGCTGTGAACTTCCATTCCCTTTTTAAACATGATTTCAAATAAAACGAGCTCCAACCTCCAGCCATGTTTCCTGTCTGCTCTGCCACTGCTCATGAAGCCCCCAGAGACAGGAAGGAACTGGCTCAGCCTGTGCTGGGGACCAGGTACCCTATGGGAATACACTGGTGCTCCAGACCCTCCCCAACACATATAGCCAACCCACAATGAATGCCCTTAGTAGCAGCACAGGCCTGTATGTCCCCACATTGTGTGTGTGTGTGTGTGTGTGTGTGTGTGTGTGTGTGTGTGTGTGTATACTGGGGCTTAAACTCAGAGCTTGACTGTTGTTTCTATACTTTTTTCACTCAGGGCTAGTGCTCTACCACTTGAGCCACAGTTCCACTTCTGGCATTTTTTTTTTTTGTTGTTGGCCAAGAGGCTTGAACTCAGGGCCTAGGCTCTGTCCATGGGCTTTTCTGCTCAAAGCTAGTGCTCTACCACTTTGATCCAAAGCTCCACTTCCACTTTTCTGGTGGTTAATTGGAGAAAAGAGTCTCATGGACATTCCTGCCTGGGCTGGCTACAAACCATGATTCTCAGCTCTCAGCTTCCTGCGCAATTATAGGTGGGAGCCATTAGCACCTGGCTTGTCCCCCGTTTGCGCTCAGCTACTGTTTGGAATGGACCCCACTGGAGTGGACATTGAGGGGGTCCGCACTGTCCTCTGAGGAGCCTGAGGTGGGCAGGGTAAGGATACTATGCACATCTTCAGCTCTGGTGACATCTTTGGAGATCAGGGATATCCTCCCTAGAGCAGGAAGTAACTTGCAAAGATGGCAAAGCCTAAACCCACAGCAGGACAGGGAAATATTCACCCCAGCAGAGATGAGGTGACCCCAAGCTCCTTCCACCTCTCAGAGGCGGGGCTTTCATTCCTGCTCCTGGAAACCTGTTGGGGTTGTAGAACATGACAAGATTAAGTGCTGGTGGCACACACCTGTAATCCTAGATACTCAAGAGGCTGAGATGTGAGTATCTTGGTTCAAAGCCAGCCCAGGTAGTAAAGTCTATGAGATTCTTCGCTCCAATTAACCAGCAAAAGCCAGGAGGTTTGGCTCAAGTGGGAGAGCACCAGCCTTGAGTGAAAAAGCTAAGGGACAGTGTCTAGGCCCTGAGTTCAAGCCCCAATATGATTCAGGGGTAAGAGTGATCTGATACATTGTATAAATACGTGGAAATGTCATAAGAAGACACGCTCCCTGTTCGCAGGTAATGTATGCTAAAAATTACAAAAAAAATAAATAACTCGCCCAAGGGCACAGAACTAAGAAACATCAGAACTGAGCAGAGTGGGCACCAATGGCCACACTTGTAATCCTAGCTATTCAGGAGGCTGATATCTGAGGATAGAAGTTCGAAGCCAGCCAGGGCAGAAAAAAAATCCTTGACTCTTATTTCCAATTAACCACCACAAAGGCAGAAGCAAAGCTGTGGCTCAAGTGATAGAATGCCATCCTTGAGTGAAAAATCTAAAGCCTCAATACAGGTACATAGACAGAGAGAGAGAGAGAGAGAGAGAGAGAGAGAGAGGGAGAGAGAGAGAGAGAGAGAGAGAACTGAGCACAAACTTTTCACTCAGTTGAATCCATGCCATGCCCACCCCCAAAATTTCAAAATACCCCTGACACTAGCCAGGCCAGTGTCCAGCACGAGGACTCTCCATTTTGCTCTTGGAATATTGTTCCCTGGACACCCCCACCCTCACCTTTGATGTCCAGTTTGGGGACAGAGCTTTGAAGGGACTTGCTGCAGGCTGCCAGTCCTAAGTGCCAGCACCAATGCCTGAATCCACATATGACTCCAGAGACTGCCCTGCCCCCACTGCAGTGAAAAGCAGAGGTCAAGGGCAGACCAGAGGCTGGGAGTCCAGTCAGGTACAGCGGAGCTGGGTGTGCCCTAGTAGCTTGCCCATGGGTATCTACTGTTGGGAAGACAGGAAGATGCCAGGGACTGCTGGTCCCCTGGGAAGGAATGAAGGCACCAGAGGACACTCAGGGCAGTCAGGGCTCTCCTGTCCCCAACACCAACACATCAGCAGGCTGTGCATGCCCAGAAGTAAGCCACTGCTGAGAAAAAGCAAAGAGAAGAAGGTCAGCTTGGTGGCTAAGAGCTCAGAGAGAGGGCTCCTGGTCCTGGCCCCTGTGGATATTTAGCAGGCTCCTAGAGTTCTCTGCCTCCACTAAAAGAGGCTGTAAGGGTCCTTGGTGCACCTCCCTCTACTATTAAGTACACACTCAAGACCTATGCTGAGCTTGGTATTTATGGCGCACACCTGTAATCCTACCTTCTTAGGAGGCTGAGATCTGAGGATCAAGATTCAAAACCAAACTGGCAAAAGAAATCACTAATATTAAGGTGCTGCATGCCTATAATGCAGGCACACAGGATAATCCAGGCAAGAGGATCTTGAGGTCAAGGCCAAGCTAGGCTATATAGTGAGAACTTAAAATAAAATAAAACAATAAAAGCTGGGTGCTGGTAGCTATAGTTAGTCCTAGCTATTCAGGAGACTGAGCCCTGAGGATGGAAGTTCAAAGCCAGCCCAGATAGGAAAGTCTGTGAGACTCTTCAGTGAACCTACAAAAAGCGGGAAGTGGAGCTGTGGCTTAAGTGGTAGAGCGCTAGCCTTAAGCACAAGCTTAGAGAGAATGCATAAGCACTGAATTCAAGTTCTAGGATAAGTACTAAAAAATGAAATAAAACACAGGAGAAAAATAAAACAAAATAAAATGGGCTAGGATGGTGGCTCAGTGGTAGAGTGCTTGCCTCGCATGCATGAGGCCCTGGGTTCTATTCCTCAGCACCACATAAGCAGAAAAAAGCCAGAAGTGGCACTGTTGCTCAAATGGTAGCGCACTAATCTTGAGTTGAAAAGCTGAAGGACAGCACCCAGGCCCAGAGTTCAGCCCCGACGAACAACCAAAAACTAAAAAATAAAATAAAACACAGAGAATGTGGCTCCAGTGATAGAATGCTTTCCTAGCAAGTTAGTAACTAGAGTTCAAATCCTAATATCACCAAACAAAACAATAATTAGCTAAGCTGGATACCAACACTCACACATGTAATCTTAGCTACTCAGGAGGTTAAGATCTGAAGACCACTGTTCAAAACCAGCCTGGGTAGAAAACTTTGTGTGAGACTCTTATATCCAATTAACCAGTTAAAAGCCAGATATGGACATGTTGCTCAAGTGATAGAAAGCAAGTCTTGAGCAAAAAGCACTAAGCAAGAGCATAAGGCCCTGAGTTCAAATCCCAGATCTGGCATTCCCCTACAAAAAATATTAACTAATCAAAACACTGATTTTAGAGGTCACATCACTAAAGAACTTATCATTAGTCCCCACTAATTTTTCCATCAACAGCACTTCTGCTGATTCTTTTTCAGAATGGCCATAAGGCTGTGTTTGCTGCAAGTTCACTTGAGTCTGTGAAAATATCCAATGGATGACTAACACAGACTGACAAAGCCTGGCATCTCTACTGCCATCTCCTATCTCTCTCCTTTGGCGCCCTAACCTCTGGGTCAACCTTTAACTCTGTTGGTAGGCATGTTTGTCTAGGACTGGTCATAAAAACAGATTTGTCTGAAACTCACCTGATCTCTCTCCTATCCCTCTAGGCTGGAAGTCACCAAGATAAGAATGTTTAAGATTTATAGGTTCTTCATGGCCTTGTGATTGCCTGTGAACCACTACCAGGGTTCACATCAGTTCCAGATCACCGGAGAGGCGCCCAAAAGTCTCCAGCCAGCCATCCTTTCCTACCCTAAGCCCTCTTTCTCCTCCCCAACCTTCTGGCTTTAGGCCAGAAGGAGCTTGAAACCTCTGCCTAGTGAAGACGATTCTTGCCAGGGTCTTGCAGGCAGTTCCAGTAAATCTTTGTGCTACCCCAACAACTTGACAGGCCAGTAAATAGATGGGTCTTCATTGACAGTTACCTGCAGTCCACTTAATCCTTACAAAAAATACCCTGGAAGCCAGGTGCTGGTGGCTCACACCTGTAATCCTAGCCACACAGAAGGCTGAGATCTGAGGACTGTGGTTCAAAGCCAGCTCAAGCAGATAAGTCCTTGTCTTTTATCTCCAATTAACTAGCAAAATGCCAGAAGTGGTGTGGCTCAAGTGGTGGAGCATCAGCCTTGAGTAAAAAGGTCAAGCAAAATTGTAAGTCCTTTGAGTTCAAACCCCTGTTAGTGTCTTTTCCTTAAAGTTGGGGACACCAGGGCTGGGAAGGTGGCTCAGTGGTAGAGCGCTTGCCTTGCATGCCTGAGGCCCTGGGTTCGATTCCTCAGCACCACATAAGCAAAAAGAAAAAAAAAGTTGGGGAAACCAAGGCTCAGAGAAATAAACTTGAATGTCCTGGGGGTATCAGAATTCAAGATAGTAGTTTAACTCCAGTGTCTGCTGCTGTCTGGCCATCCTGAGCTGTCCCTACCATTATCTCTCAGGGCTGGCTGCTCCTCCATGCAGAGGTTCCTGCCTTCTGGTCTTGCTTACTGATCATGGGCCCCAGTAGCAACTAGTACCAACAGCTGTGACATGAACTGAAGCAGTGGCAGAGGCTTTCCTGGATGGGCATGATGCTAACTAATGGGATTTTGGGAGGATTGGCAGGGCTGAGACAGGGTTGGGCTGGGCTCCGGGAATTCCTGTAGTAGGCAGACAGCAGCCAAGCCTCCCTGCAGTGCTGCTGCTGCTGGTACCAGGAGGGAGGTTTTGTTTGTTTGTTTGTTTGTTTTTGGGTCCGGTTGTGGGGCCTGAACTCTGGGTCTGGGCGCTGTCCCTCAGCTCTTCAACTCAAGGCTAGCGCTCTACCACTTGAGCCACAGTGCCACTTCCAGCTTTTTGCTTTTTGCTTATGTGGTGCTGGGGAATCGAACCCAGGGCCTCAGGCATGCAAGGCAAGCGCTCTACCACTGAGCCACCTTCCCAGCCCCTAGGAGGGAGTTTTGTATGTCTGTGCCTGCACTCCATTCTGTCCCTCACCTAACCTCACCACCTGCTCCTTCCTCTT